GTAACAAAAGGATCCATTATTAACTAGGTAAAAGGAAACCCCTTACCAACCACACCAACAGATCCATCCACTGTTCAAGGAAAAGAGTAACCAACTCATACTAGCCCTATAATGCTATAGACGGAAAGAAGACTATCAGAAGGAAAAGATCTGTCATTAGAATGGCAGTGAAACTAGGGCTGCTTCTCATACTGCTGCCTCAAGCTGTTTGCAAGAAGCTCTCCATTCATTGCACCACAAACGATGACACTCTCCCTATTCCTCATGAATTTTACCAGCCAGGCAACTTTATCATTGGTGGGATTGCCTCCCAGGTTTTCATCTTCTACAGTGCTCCCAGTTTCAAGCTGCCACCTGCACAGATGATAATTAATGAACCCATGTAAGGATTTTTTCCAACTTCCTCGTATGATTATTTATATTGCCTTTTGGATGGTATAATATGTCTAGTTTACTTTACAGTTCAAAATCTGAGCTCAACAAGACAGCAAAAGGTGGAGAGGTAGGTGGACAGAGAGTGATGCATGTGTGTTCATTCAAGTCGTATGCCTTCAGGCTTTATTAGTAGAATGTCTTAAGGCTTTATTATGAACCTATGTAAGGATTTTTGTCCACTTTCTTGTATCACTATTTATACTGTACAGCATTTTGGATGGTACAACGTGTTTGGTCCCTGTGTAGTAGGTGTTACAGTCCAAAATCTGACCTCAATTAGAGAGCAAACGGTAGTTGGAAAGATAGTGATACATGTGTGTTCATTCCAGTTTTATGTCTTTAGACTTTATTTTAGTAGGGCAAGGGAACTACGGGGTTGTTCTAATGTCTTTGTGAGATAAAGAGGGATTTTTAGGAAGTTGGAGAAGCAAGATTCATACAGGAGTCTTGGGATGCAGGACCAAACAAGAGTCCAATAATAAAGAAAAGAATGAGGGAACAGAATGCCTTCAGATGGTGGTAGTGGGGGGTTTCCTGGAGGACAGCAAGTCATAGACAGGGCTGCATCAGGCTAGGGGAGGAGGAAATTACAAACAGGCTTTGAATGTTAGAAAAATAAAATTATCATGGATCTGGGAGTGGACAGGAAATCACCTCTGTAATTTCAACCCATGGAGGGTTGTTTGGGAAGACACTGAGCACATAAATACATGAAACTGCCTTATAGTGAATCAGACCCTTGGTCCATCAAGGGATTAAGAGAATTTCATTGAACAATACTACGTGGAAGTGAGTAGGGGGGGACCACAGCCACAGACTAGCATTGGTGTGGTAAAAGATTTGTCTTAATCAGGCTTGCCATTTTATGGAGGGGAGACTTGGATGTTTTAAAATCCAGTGCACTGTGTTGTCCAGTTATGTAACTGACAGAAGTTGTAGAGTTGCGGCTAGAGGTTTGCTCTAAGAAGAAAATGTTACAACTTTGGATCTAGAATTAGGGAGGGAATTTACTGTGATTGGTGAAGTTTTGCTAGGACATTACTAGTTCGGGATTCAAAGTGTGTGAATTTTTCCCTTCAGGTACTGGAATTTTCGGAGCATTGTTGTTAGCGGGGAGCCAATTTGAGGTGACAGGGCAGATGTTTTACTTCAGGGAATACATGCTATAGAGACTTCATTATACTAGCTGTTTCCGGAGTCACTAAGAAACAGCTATATTCCAGAAAAAGATCACTCCAGTTTTCAATGGAGTTCTATTTTAACACTGCAAAGTCTTGAAAATATTTAGGGTTGTGATGTAGGTTGGATAAGGGGGGCTTTTTTTAAAAAAAAAGAATGAGCCTTTCACCTGTTGAAGAAGCAAATTTACATGTTAAAATCAGCATTTTAATTCTATCATTAATTAGCAGATAGATTTGATTCAGGGTTGATTTGTGATGAGAAGTACAAGATATATGGTAAACCATTTCAACGTGGAATTAGTCTGAATCCTGTGGATGCTGCAAAGGTATTTAACCAGGTTGAACTGCATTTTCTTTCAGTACATGCAGGGTGATCCATTCTATCACATGGCTACAAACAATGCATTGTATCCTTAGTGATACTGGTTCAGGTCATCATGCCCTCTCCCATCCCATAAGTCTGTAACAAGTAGCTAGGCAGGGATGTCCTCTGTCAACTCTTTGACTAGAAATCTTTGAAAATAAATTTGATGCTACTTGATATGGAAAGATGGAATAAGATGCAGAAACCCTGACCGGGAAGTACAGCAGTTCTCAAAACTAACATGATGCCAAGGCTTTTACCCGTATTGCATAATATTACTGTGTTCATCCCTCCCAACACTTTTAAAATGGCACAACATAGTTGTGAAATACATTTGGGTCTCTTAGAACCCTAGAATTGTGTTTGCAGTCTTCCAAAGCCTTCTGACAGAGAAGATTCTTGAAATGTCCCCATACTGTTTTATATTTTTAATGTAAATACCTGAATTGTTTGCACCCATCACCACTACTCTGCATACAGCTCTGTCACATCTGGAGCAGCCGGGGAGTTATGTGAGGCTATTGTTTGTGGATTTTAGTTCTGCCTTTAATACCATCCTCCCAGATAGATTAGTGTCCAAATCGGAGGGCCTTGGACTCTCCAGCTCCATATGTTTCTGGATTTTGAACTTTTTGACAGCCCGCCCCCAGAGGGTTAGAGTAGGGTCCTATATGTCCACAGCCCTTACCCTTAATACCGGTTCTCCACAAGACTGTGTGTTGAGCCCCTTGCTCTATACCCTCTACACACAGGATTGTACCCCCACCCACCCCAGTAACACCATCATCAAGTTTGCTGATGACACCACTGTGGTGGGGCTCATCTGTGGGAATGATGAGTCTGCTTATCAGGACGAGGTGGAACGGCTTTGTGTTTGGTGCAGGGAAAATAATTTGATCCTCAACACCACCAAGACCAAGGAACTGGTAGTGGACAATAGGAGGAACAAAACGGACATCCAGCCACTGTTTATTGGTGGAGAACGTGTGGAGAGGGTGGCTACTTTTAAGTTTTTGGGAGTGATTATTGAGCAAAACTTGATCTGGAGCACTAACACCACTGCTCTGGTGAAGAAGGCCCAGCAGAGGCTCTTTTTTCCTCAGACTTTTAAAGAAAAATAACTTGAGTGAGAAAATATTGAAGTCCTTCTATCGTTGCTCAATAGAGAGCATTTTAACATACTGTGTCTGTGCTTGGTTTGCCAGTTGTACGGCTGTGAATACGAAAGCACTCCAGAGAGTTATCATCACATCCCAGAAGATTATTGGCTGCCCTCTCCCATTCCTGGCGGAATTGTATAGTTCTCAATGTTTGAAAAAAGCAAAGAACATTCTGCAGGATTTGTCACACCCTGAACACTCCCTGTTTGAACTGCTGCCTTTGGGTAGAAGATATAGGACAATTAAAACAAGGACAAACAGATTAAAAATAGTTTTTATTTGAGAGCTATTATTGCTTTAATTGCTGTATGACATTGGAATTTGGGTGACATTGGTGGTTTAAGTTGCAATGTGAACCTTAAGGGAGTTATGGGATGGTTGTGAATGGTTGTGTGAGTGTATATGAGTATGGTTGTAGATTACCAAAATGACTGCATCTTTAATTTCGTTGTACTATGTACAATGACAATAAAGTATATTATTATTACCAAGGGAGTCATTGAAGATAAAAATTTACTTCGGAATATGGTAAAGCAAAGTTGCTCATAAATATGTCTGAACTGCCTGCCTTACTTCACTTCACTAAGACTGAAGAGAGCTTTGTCTGTATTTATTTCCTGCATTTATTTGTCTGTATTTAAAAAGATGCAATGAACATGAAACTGAGCAAACTTCAAAGGACGGCGGAAGACAGGAGGGCCTGGCGGGAGCTGGTCCATGGGGTCGCGAAGAGTCGGACTCGACTGTGCGACTGAACAACAACAAATTTATTTATGAAGTCTGTATGAGGAAGGGTGGGACATATTGAAGGGTTTTTGAGAACTGTGGGATCTCACTGTATATATAGAATTTATATTACACATAGAAACATTACCTTATCTAGAGATAAAAATGATCAGTTCAAAGATGAGAAGGGCAAGACTGAAGCTGGAAATCTAATACAGAAATAGACATCCATCATGGCTGTAGATTTTATCTACATGGTTTAGAGCTACTGAGTTGCAAGTGACTTATGGTAACTGATCCAAAGGGCTTTTAAGGCAAGTGAGAAGTGGGCGAGGTTTGTTATTGTCCTCCTCAGTAGAGTCTTCCTTGGTGTTCTTGCATCCAAATACAGCTTAGCTTCTGAGATCTTATAATTTCAACAATAATTTCAACAAATCTTAGTTAAAAACAATAAAAATATTTCAAATGTCAATAAACTTAATAGGTGGAAGGGTGTTTTATCTTAAATATATTATGTACTCTATAATAATGGTAACTTGGCTAACCAAAGAAAAAACAGAGCAAGACCTTGAAAAGAGAAATTTTGATTCAGCATGAGGAGCATTGGCCATTAAACCCCCATTTTTTTCTCCTTGTATGAATATGAAAAAGAATTTCTATAAATTGTCATATTCTTAGCATGTGACTCCAAATAAAATTACCCAAATCTCCAACGTTCCAAATTATTCTTGCTGGAGAAACACTCTGATCCAAGTATACCTTAACTATATATGGAGGTAATGTCTTGCCATTCAAAAGGATTTGAAAATAAGATCCATTCTCATGTAGTGATAATAAGGGGCTAGAAACATAACCTCAAATGACTGAACATAATTCTAGACACTGTTAACAGAGTTCAAGTACACTACATTTTCTGTAGTTCAATTAAATAGCCCATGACTCTCATTGCAGGTCAATGCCAAAGAACTACCAGCATAACTTGGCCTTGGCCTTTGCAGTCAAAGAGATCAATGAGAATACCAACATCATGCCAAACTTCACTTTGGGTTTCCACATCCTCAGTAGTTACTACACTGCAAGGATGACCTATAAAGCTACCCTGAGTTTGCTTTCTGCACAACAGAGATTCATACCAAATTTCAAGTGTGATACAGAAAATAAACTGATAGCAGTTATTGGAGGACTGGACACTGACATCTCTGCCAATATGGCCACCATCCTGGCCTTCTACAAGGTACCTCAGGTAGGGCATTTCCTAAATCACAAATCTTTGGAAAATACTTTCACATACTGTGGTGATCTTTCCTAAAATCCCAATGTGTCCCTTTCAGCTCACTTATGGATCCCTTTTACCAGCTCAGGGGAGCAAAATGTCATTCCCTTATTTGTTCCAAATGGTTCCAAATGAAGCCTTTCAGTTCATGGGTATTATTCGCTTACTTCATCATTTTAGATGGACGTGGATTGGGCTTGGAGCTTTGGATAATGACAATGGTGACAGATTTTTGCACATCATGGTACCCATACTTTCTGAGAACGGTATTTGTTTTGACTTTATAATTAGATTCCCAACATTAACTTACCTGGAAGAGGAGGCAGATGTGCTTTTGAAGCAACCAGTAAATTATGCCATTCACCATAACAGCAAGGCTAATGCATATGTTGTATATGCACAACCTACATCCATGTTTGTTCTGGGAGTGTTGCTATGTGCAGCACCCTTTCTTGCACTGCCACCTCTGCATAAAGTCTGGATTACTACATCCCACTGGGATTTTGAATCCTTTTCCTTTCAAAGGATTTGGGATATAGAGGTTTTCCATGGTGCTCTATCCTTCATGGTGCATGCCAATAAGCCACCTGGATTCCAAAACTTCCTTCAGGACATCAATCCTACTTGGGCAAAAGAAGATGGTTTTATCCAGAACTTCTGGGAACAAGCATTTGATTGTTCTCTGAGAAATGTAATGGTACAAGGAGCAGTACAGAACAGCGGCAATGCCTGTTCTGGCAATGAGAAGCTAGACTCTCTTCCTATGACTTTGTTTGAAATGAGCATGAGTGGCCACAGCTACAGTATTTACAATGCTGTCCACGCTGTAGCACATGCTTTGCATTCTATCTATGTATCTCAATCCAGTGGTAGAAGATTGGTAAAAGGAAAGCAGCTACAGCCATGGCAGGTAATTAAATCAAAACACAAAACTACTTTTTTATTTTCAAAATGATTTTATTAAAGTCAAAGACATTATACAGAATTTAAGCACATAAGATGTAACAAGACCACAGAGGTCAGGAAAGTGTATAGCCATAGCCATTACATGAGGTCAGTGGAGCTTTGCCTTCCTTAAGCCCTTAATAGAATTTCATCAAAATCATTGAGCTGGATAGCACAAACTATTCTCTTGAAGGAAAGGGAGGGGGAGGGAAGAGGCCCATTTTGATGACCAAAAAGACTGTGCCATGGATTCTGGGGCCAAACAAAAAAAGCTATATAAGGAGGAGATGTGGGAGACCGAGTGACAACACTGGTCACTCATGTGTTGAACTGATTTGTTGTCATGTTTATGTATCTCTAACCACAAGAAGAAATGATAAATTTATAGCAAAAAACAAAATCAACATATCAATAAACATAAATATATAAACATCCGTTAGGCTGTGACACTGCCAAAACGATTCAACATACCATTGACTTTTCCTTTCATTGCATCTCTCAACTAGCTTCACTACTTTCTAAAAAACATCATGTTCAACAACAGTGCTGGAGACACGGTGTGTTTTGATGACAATGGAGAATTAAAAACTGGATTTGATGTTACAAACTGTGTCACTTTCCCAAATGGTTCTTTTGTTCGAGTGAAAGTGGGAAGACTTGATCCTTGGGCTCTGGCAGGCAAAGAGCTAACTCTTGATGATGATCAAATTGTGTGGCATCGAACCTTTAAGCAGGTAAAACATGGGAAGTCATGCTTGATTCTAAACTGAGAAAAGTTGCACGTTATCTGTTTCAGAATTCTGCAAGCCCTTTAGCTGATGTGGCAGGTCTCAGTAAGCCTTCGTTCTTGTGAGTCTTTACATTGTCTGTCTTCTCAAGAATGTAATTCTTTATCTCTGTGATCTGCCTTGGCAATAAAAGCCCATCAGGCCATTTTTGCAACCATGGGACTACTCGGCAGCTTTTACTGGGTGAATGCATCACCTTATGTTGTGTATGCATCTAGTGGTATGCATATTTGCTAGTGGTCCGCCCCTGCTTCACTTGCCTACCCCATGGCTGACTGCACTTGCGATGTTTAATGTCAGTCTGACTACTGGATGAGAAGTTTTGCCTTCTGCCAAAAGACTTGCAGTGATGCCTAATGAAGAGCAATAATCTTTTTGGGGGGTGAGCTGTAGATCAAATTAGATCTACAACAGATGAGATACTCTACACTCTCTACAACGGGGACCCAAAGCACTTTAAATTGTTCTCCTGTCCTCCATTTCATCCTCAAAACAAAAACCTAGAGAGACAAGTAAGTCTGAGAGAGTGTGACTTGCCAAAGTTCACCCAACAACCTTCCTTGGCTGAAGTAGGATTTGAACCTGGATCTCATAGGTCCTACTCAGACACTCTTATCACTATATCACACTGGCTGTGATAACTCAGAGGGTTCTTAAACCTCCTTTCTTTTATAAGGAGGGAATATTTCCTACCTTATGTGTTCTGTGCTACTTTTCTCTCCAATACAGACCCAAAGCTGCTCACACTGCTCACATCTACCTTACCCCCCATGGCGACAATCCTGTAGGGTATGTTAGGCTGAGAGGCTATGGTTGGCTCAAGGCCATGCAGCTAACTTCTATAACGGAGTGAGGATCTGAACCTGGGTCTTTTAGATAACTTGCCAGACGTTCTAACATGAGACCACAAAGGTCAAGGAAGTTGTGAAACCCCTGTGTTTTGTCACAGAGGAGATCTTTTCTGTCCTTCCTGGTTATGCTGACACAGGCACGTAGCTAACAACTTTTTTCTCAGGGGGCCCATGTTTTTCTCAGGGGGCCCACCACCAATCTTCCCTCTAAGCTATGGAGTTTTGTGAGCAAAATTTCTACTTTCTGAACTACTGCCATTAAAGTTGTGAGAGGGAAGCAAGGAGGAGAGGGGGTGCATGCAGAAGGCTCTGGCCAGCAGGGGGAAAGAATGCCGGCCCCGGGCAAAGTCCTAAGAGGGGTCCAGCTGGAAGGGGATCTACTAAAAGGAAGGACAGGATTGCCCATTGGAAACAATGGGAGACGCTGGAAGGCCCATTGGAAATCATGGGAGCAAGGAATGCCAATTGACTTGCATGGGCTCCATTGGAAAACATTAGGGTACAAGTAGAGTTACAATAAAAATGTGGAATGGATTTTCCATTAGGGTCTCTGGGCACAAATACACTACTCTGAGGATGGAATGAGAGACCACGTAGTGGAATGACGGCCCCAGGGTGCACCAGGAGTGTTCAGGCACTGGGATAACAGGCCACGGAGTGGAATGACGGCCCCAGGGTGGAGCAGGAGTGTTCAGGCACTGGGATGACAGGCATGAGAGACCACGTAGTGGAATGACGGCCCCAGGGTGCACCAGGAGTGTTCAGACACTGGGATGACAGGCCACAGAGTGGAATGACAGCCCCAGGGTGGAGCAGCAGTGTTCAGGCACTGGGATGAGAGGGCCAACAGTGGAATGACGGCCCCAGGGTGTACCAGGAGTGTTCTGGAACTGGAATGACAGGCCACAGAGTGGAATGACAAGCCCAGAGTGCAGCAGGAGTGTTCTGGAACTGGGATGACAGGGCCAAGAGTGGAATGATGGCCCTAGGGTGTACCAGGAGTGTTCTGGAACTGGGATGACAGGCCATGGAGTGGAATGACGGCCCCTGGGTGGAGCAGGAGTGTTCAGGGACTGGAATGAGAGACCACGGAGTTGAATTTAGCTCCTGGAAGTAGCAGAAGTGGTCTTGGACTGGAATGACTTCCCCAGGAAGTGGTAGGAGTGTTCTGGAACTGGAAT